GAATCGGGAGCACTTTGGGGGCGCCTGGGTGGCTCAGGCGGTTGGGCGTCCGACTTCAGCCAGGTCACGATCTTGCGGTCCATGAGTTCGAGCCCCGCGTCGGGCTCTGGGCTGATGGCTCAGAGCCTGGAGCCTGTTTCCGATTCTGTGTCTCCCTCTCTCTCTGCCCCTCCCCCGTTCATGCTCTGTCTCTCTCTGTCCCAAAAATAAATTTAAAAAACGTTGAAAAAAAAAATAAAATAAAATCCTTTAAACCCTTCTAATGCTTTACTACATTGCTGATGGTTTCAGGGAGGAACAAATGTACAAGGTTTCCCGGGTCTCCTGAGTGGTCACCTTGAAATCGTCACCTTGCCACGAGCTCCAGTGTGGATGCTTCACGTGTCGATATTAGTTATTTAAGTGGGGAAGAATACCCCTTTTCAAGATTAAAGCAAAAACAACAATGTAGTGATTAGGGTCATTTTCCTTATAAACAACACCCCACTCTGCCCCTGATTTAAATTATGGCAATAATCTTTGCCTCTTGGCACGGTTAAGCACAATTCAAGATAATGTTTCAAGTTCGGCACCCTTTATTTGGAGAATTCGCAGTCATTTAAGCACCGTTTTCATTTATTCTAACTAAGCGTGTTATGTTTTGTTTGCTGCCTGTGTGAGTAGTCACAGTAATTCCTTACCTGCCACACATTTACTAGCACATCTAAGTCCTGGATAAAACTTCTGTGTAGGAGAAATGATTAGGAGGGGTACAGAAGCCCCCCGTTAAGGTCCGTGTGATGGAACTCATTACCGTTTTTCTCGTAGACGGCGTCCACTTTATCACCAATCCCTGGAAAGTCCTCTTCGATCAGCCTGGGGGAGTCCTGATCCATGGCGTGGTTGCTGTCATCATAGCTATGTGGCGAGGAAAAGGAACTCTTCAGTAGGTCGTATTGCTTAGAAATTCTCTTAAAAATGACTCAAAGGATATCAGGATGCCTTCAAAACTGACAAAAGTATTAAAATTTTTAGGCGCGTTTAAAATATCTGGGAGCCGGGGTGCCTGGGTGGCACAGTCGGTTGGGCATCCGACTTCAGCCAGGTCACGATCTTGCGGTCTGTGGGTTCGAGCCCCGCATCGGGCTCTGGGCTGATGGCTCGGAGCCTGGAGCCTGTTTCCGATTGTGTGTCTCCCTCTCTCTCTGCCCCTCCCCCATTCATGCTCTGTCTCTCTCTGTCCCAAAAATAAATAAAAACGTTGAAAAAAAAATTTTAAATATCCGGGAGCCTTTTCAAATGAGTAATTACGATACGGAGTGCGCGGTGGGTGTTTCCTGAGTATTTGCTGACTGGGCAAAGGCCATCTTTGTAAAGACAGTTACCAGCTCGTCTCCATCTCCCAAACGGCATATCTGTTATAAAAGTGGGTTATTAGGAAGGGGTTCTTAAAGCAAAATAAATCCATGCTTGTGCCCTGAAAAACTGTGTCCTGATCTCCAACCGTGGGTGAGACAACTCACTAAGTTGCAGTAAGGGACGCAAGGATATTGGACGTGTACTTTCGGTAACTAAAAAGTCACAGGGGCACATGATGGCACTGACGCTAGGGAGGGGAGCACAGCGCTGCCCCCCATAACTACGGTTCAGCATCCGCCACCCCTGCACGGGCACCCCCGCCAACCACACACATCCTGAAGTCAACCTAGAGCGGCCGTCCAACATGTACTACTGTTACTGTTGCTGATGAGTCTCTTGTCCTTGAGGGACGTTCCGATTGGTGAGAGACCAGAGCCGCTGACCTATGGAGACAGCTAGGACCTGGGCACACCGCAACACTAAGCAACAGAAGCTAGGCATCGTGACAAGGATGCAGAAAGTGCCATGAGAGTACATGAGGAGGGAGAGAGCCTCAAGGGTTCCAGAAAGACTTTGAGGTTAAACGGTATTTCTGGTTAATTCGAAACAGTGGGTAGAGTTTCAAAAGGGAGAGATGCAGGGAAAGACCCTCCAGCCAAAAGGGGGGATGAGAGCACGGTGCGTTTGTGATCTGGTGAGTGATACGCCCTCAATGAACCACAGACCTTGTGTTGGGCATGGGGACCGGCATGGCAGCACTAGGAGAACTTTAGACAGTAGTGAATGTCACTGTCAGAAATACAGAAGTCAAACGGCAAAGAGGACATATACAGGGAATGTGTGTGTGTGTGTGTGTGTGTGTGTGT